AATTAAATTGAAAATTCAAATTAAAAATTATGGAGGAAATTTAAAGCTTGTTATTGCAGGTGGTGCTGAAGCACACATGCTTGCGATCGAATTGGCCAAAAATGAAATTCCCGTAATAGTTAACCCATCAAGGCCCACTCCAGAGTTATGGACAGCTCAACACGTATTAACAGGTGCTCCTATTACCAATAAAACTGGAATAGATATACTATATGAAAACAATGTTAAGATAGGAATAGGTGCGGATTTACTTTCAAAAGGAATCAGTTCGTATTTATTAGGATTTGGCACGGAAAGAAATTTAATTTGGGATGCTGGTTGGGTATCACGAAATTCCAAAGGATTGATTTCACATAAAGATGCTATTGGATTTATTACATGGAACTTAGAAGAAATCCTCGGTTTAAATATGAGAAATGGGTTGCTTAAAGGTAATATTGCAAATTTTGTGGCATATAATGGAAATCCTTTTGATATTAATGCGAGAGTAAAGATTGTTGCTGGTGGTGGTAGAAGTGATATTATTATTGATCCTGAACAAGATTAAGAAATTAAATACGGGTTGTATCAAATCTTTAAGTAATTTAAGGTTAGAAATTTCGGAATCTAACAATCAATTATACTTTGCTGATATTAGTCGTCGAGAATTACTTATGTTTTTTTTTTAAAAAAAATGCATCACCTTAACGAATACAGTTAAACATCTCTATATTCATACTCTTGAGATACAAAAAAGTATGTTTATAGAGAGGTGTGCTAATTATAGAGGTCAAATTTATTATAGTTTTAAAAAAATGTGCTTATATAGGAAGTGACTATAGTGTTGCTGTATTCGAAATTTCATAAAATAGAATGCATCATTTTATAAGTCTTAAACAAGGCTACAAGGAAATGCATTTGTTTTCGCAAAATTCCGTGAGAAGTTACAATTTTGATGTCTTTACACCATATTTTATAAATTAAAAAATTAGCTATGTAGTCGATTTGATAGTTATTAGGAGTTTGTAAATATAGCCTCAAAAAGTTCTGTCTTCTAAAAATGAAGTATATTTGGTATTTATTATTATTATCCTAGCTTAAATTTCATTCTTTATTATTTGTAATTTACCAGTAAAGAGAATTTGTAAAGTGCATAGATAATAAATATTTTAAATTATGAAATTTCTATAGCATTAATTAGTGCTCCA